CAAAACCTCCAGAACACGGCCACACAGCCCGGAAGACCCACACCAGCCATCGTATGCCGGCCGTGAAAGCCTTCGACAATACAATGACTTTTATTGAACAAGATTATGAAGAGTCCAAAAGGAAAATAATACTTCACTGCTAAGACAGGAGTTATCCAAAGAAGGGGGAAAGGAGGAGGAGGAACGCATGCTAGGAATATGTGCTTGCTTTGTATCAAATCTAGCTGGCAGATAATACAATTTAAGGCAGTGTTTTTCAAGCGTGGCAACTTTAAGACAGGTGGACTTCAACTGCCAGAATTCCCTAGCCAGCATGCTTGCTAGGGAGTTCTGGCAGTTGAAGTCCACACCTCTTAAAAGTTGCCAGGTTTGAAAAACACTGATTTAGGGGAAAAATAGAAAATGCTGGAAACTTACCTGCTGCTACATTGCATGTATATTCTCTCTTTAACATCAGTCCCTATCTCCCTTGAGTCCTCTGTTTGGTTTTGTTTTTTTCTACTTGTCTTTGGAAAGGTGCAATGTGCAATATGCAATATTGATCTTCATTCTCCAAGCGCTGCACTTTATGTGCTCCAATCTGCACCATAGAAGAGGGAAAATCAGCAGGTCTGGGAGAACCCAGATGTTTACGGAAGTGTAAAAGACAGCTGTAGAAAAGCTATAAGGGGCCACTTCTTGCCTCAGGCTTTGTCAGGGTTGAATATACCTGCAGTGGTGAACGTGCTAAGGCTATGGAGTAGAAAATAGATATTCCAAATAAAATCATAACATTTTATTTGTTAACCTTTGTTAACATACTTTTGCTAATGGTAATTTTATTGATTTGTCTGTTTGTTTACAAATCATATGACTGCCCATCTCACAAAATATGGGTGGTGTACAATAAGGCCATGAAATAACAATATTAAAACAGAATACCATTAAAAATATTGATATTATTATTTAAAAAAGGCTAGGCAAGAGCATTGAATGTTATGAAGAGTACAGCCACCTCAGCAGGTCACCGTTTCCTTGAAACCCCCAAGCTGGTTGGCATAGCCAAGTTTTGAGGGGTTTCTGGAAGGATGGCGGGGAATTTTGCCTATCCCCTTACTGCTTTTTAAAGCCTGCTTTTGGAGGGGGCACGCTCACCTAGAGTAAGTTTTGCAGAGCTTTATTATCTTGCTGTTCCCTTTTTCTATATGTGCTGGAGATGTGTCTAGGTAGAAAGAAGATCGAGTAGGAACTGAGTCAAGATACTTAAGTTGGCATACAAAACATGACTACCTAAAATGGTAGTTTCATCACAGTGAAACCAAAAATACGGTTGGTATAAAAAGAGCTGTGATATTTATATATATACAGTGGTACCTCGGTTCACGAACTTAATTCGTTCCGCAACTCTGGTCGCGACCCGAA